TCTCGCTCCCCTCCATCTTCTCGTCCCCACCCATGCCCCTCCCGTCTCGCTCCCCTCCATCTGTTCCCTCCCCAACCCCGTCCCCACCCGTGCGCCTCCCGTCGCTCCCCTCCCTTCCTTCCCCTCCCTCTTCCTTCCTTTCCCTCTTCCCTTCCCAACCCCGTCCACCTCCACCTCCATCTTCCGTCCCCGACAACGTAAGCTTTTCCTCGCTCTCCCCCGGCACTAGCGACTAAACGAGAACCCAAGCATCGGAGATGCTTTTGGGAAGAATATCAACGCTGTCTCCTTCTCTCGACTTGTGGCTTTTGGCGGTGAGCATACAATTGCTGAGCTCTCTTCCGCCGCTCCCTTGTTTGCCACACTACAGGACAAAGAACTTGTCAGTGTCCGGTTACTTCGAAGACCTACATTAGGGATGGCTCTCGCGTGGCCGCTCGGAGCCGTACTTTGACGGCTTCGCTACCAAGTCCTAAACCCCAAGCGCTCGAAGTCAAAGAGGATCCAAAGTGAACGTGAGAGGATGAAAGCCCATTTTAGCGTGCCAGTGGAATTCCTCAAGGGTCCTCGATTGGGGCATATGGACCAGAACAGCAGGCAACCGGGTATGCACCATTTTGGGAATTGATGATGAGCCTGTTTCCAGGGAGTGAATGGCTGGGAAGGGGTGCCCACCTGGTATGGAGTACACAGGTTCACGAGAACAATGCTAGAGCTGCGAAGAGACATTGTCATATTTGTGCTGTAAATAGGTTACACTATAGCTAAAGGAGCAAGGCAGCGAGGCAAAAAGGTATTGATAAATGATGGAATGCGGTCTACGAAAAGTACTTTAAACATCGCGCGGGCACAGTCAAGGACAATTCTGACCTTGTACATGTGTTTTTCTGGACATAAACACTTCAAGTCACAACCACCCAAGGTCACCTGCAGCTATATACTTTCATTGTGTTCAAACGTGCAAAGCCGCCAAGGCACTCCAAGGTACACCGCATGATGCAAATTGCATCAACCAGCGCTGGCAACTCCAGCAAGTTTCAGAGCTTTCTCTTCACGGCGCCGTACCCCGAACATAGCGTGCTCAGAACGTGGCGAATGGTTGATCGTCTCACCAACATGATGGGCGTCTATATAACATGATTGTTTGTTTCTGGCCAACTATTGTAAGCATATCAAGGGGTATCATGACTCATGATGTGAGGTTCATTGTTGGCGTTTGCCGAAATCAACAACAACCAACAACCAACATGAGCAAAGAACAGCACAAACAATTGCCCACTCCGTTGAGGGTTTGTCTTCGTGGTTGTGCTGCAGGTTCTAGAGGGCACAAGTGAAAACACATTAACAAATACTAGGAGCAAGTAGCTACTAGGGGCTCCTGGCATTGCTACTGGGAGCAAGGACGCTACTAGGGGCTCCTGGCCTTACTACTAGGAGCAAGAAGCTACTAGTAACAAGGGCGCTATAGTACATAAGTCACTTTGGGTCATGACATGGGTTCCTGACATTACTTCTGCTTCTTCAAGACCTATGGCGAGCAGTACAAAGCGCTTTTCGCACTCATAGGCACTCCAACTGCCACTGCTCGATCCAATTGGTACCGGGATGTATCCGGTTCCCTGTATGTCCTTGAATTGAATTGATGTTATTTTTAATGCAGGCATGTAGGTTCCATCTGCCACGCCAAAGAATAAGCTTCTTTAAGAAGGTTTGAATCCCGTTGGAAGATCATTGGTTCTGATAACAGAAGTTGGGTGTTATATGAAGTGTAAGCGTCTAAGGCAACGGCCAAAACATGTGTCAAGAATTGTAAACGCCATTGAATGTTCAAGTCTGCCTTCTTTGCTCTGAACAAGCAATCCGTCGGTAAGGCACATAAGTATCATAAACACAGCTGCCACTTTGCTGGAGACACGTTCAAAGCTTGTGGAACGCATGCGGTCAGCTTTGCAGCTGAAGGTGCTAGGTGCTAGTCGACATGATAGATGGTCCTATTCTTTGCAGGCCAAAAACACACCTTGTCTTGCATCACACTTCAGTCTTGATATTTCGGAGTTGCAAAGGTGCGTACTGGAGAAGCACGCTGCAAATGCCATTGTAGATGTGCAGCAACCAAAGGACACGCATGACTTTCTCAGCCAGGGGTAAGGAATTCAAGCCGCATTTGTACTTGTCGCATGATGTCCATGCTTTGTCATCCAGCTGTTGAACTAACATCCAAAAGGAAATTGCCTTTGTCTTCGGACTTTGTGTTCCCAACTTGGCTCCACTTTGTGTTTCTGTTTCTGCAATTCTGATGTTTGTCGTATCATGGATTCCGCTGTCAAAGAGAACACCTGAAGCCTTTTTCACGCTGATCGCCGCATCACCGACCCTTGGAGCGAGACCGTGACTTCTTTCTGTCCTCACTTGATTTCTTTTGCCAAGCAAAATTTTGACAGCAATGTTCACTTGAAGCTCTTGGCCGTAGAGAAAGAATCTCAAGAATGCCAACAAAGGACAAATATACCCTCTCACCCCAGACAAGTTCCGGCGGACAGCACCCAACGTTCCAGAATGTGCACCACTCTCACCCAGCGGACAGCACGCAAGTCCACACCCTGCACCACTCTCACCCCCAGGTTCCCGCAGACAGCACCCAAAGTTCCAGACTGCGCACCACGCTCACCCCCCACAGAACCCAAGGTTCCAGCAGACAGCACCCAAGGTTCCAGCAGACAGCACCCAAGGTTCCAGCAGACAGTACCCAAG